GGATTTCCATCTCATCTGGATGATGGCAAGGGGACCAGGTTGGAGGGTAGGCAAGCCCCAGAAAGCCCCCAGAAGATAAGGAGAAGAGGGAACCTACATTGCCTGCTGTTATTTGTCGCCTTTTCTTCTGAGCAGCGATGGAGATGGGCACCAGGACACCAAGGACAACTGTCCTCAGCTGCCAAATAGCTCTCAGCTGGACTCAGACAATGATGGACTTGGAGACGAGTGTGATGGGGATGATGACAATGATGGTGTCCCAGATTATGTTCCTCCTGGGCCTGATAACTGTCGTCTGGTACCCAATCCTAATCAGAAAGACTCAGATGGTGAGGTTGGGATCCCAGAGATCGGTCAAGAGGCAGGCCTACTGAAGGGAATGGGGGATGGAAGGTTGGGAGGGATCAGGAATGGAAAATCCCAGTGGTGACAGTGTCTAGCCTCATTCTATCCAGGCAACGGTGTTGGTGATGTGTGTGAGGATGACTTTGACAATGATGCAGTGGTTGATCCTCTGGATGTGTGTCCGGAAAGTGCAGAAGTTACCCTCACAGATTTTCGGGCCTATCAGACTGTGGTTTTGGATCCTGAGGGTGATGCTCAGATTGATCCAAACTGGGTAGTGCTCAATCAGGTATGCAGGGAGGTGGACTGGGCAGGTGTTGGCAGACCAGACCACTGTTGGTACCAGGTGGCAACATGCACCTGGATCAGGGCTTTTTTCTTTCTTTCCTTAACAACCTCAGGGCATGGAAATTGTTCAGACTATGAACAGTGACCCAGGTCTTGCAGTTGGTATGTAAGGGATACCCAGCTTAGTAATTTCCAAAGGGAAGGCTCCTATAGAGGGTAGGGAAAGAGCCAGATGGGGAGGATGGGCGGGGGCTTACCCAAGACTCTGGCCCTATATACAACCGGTACCTCTGCCTCCATACTCATCCCACCCAGGCTACCAAGCAGCTCTAATGCCCACATTTAACCCACTCCCACCCCAGGATACACGGCCTTCAATGGTGTAGACTTTGAAGGCACCTTCCACGTGAACACGGTCACTGACGATGACTACGCGGGCTTCCTCTTCAGTTACCAGGACAGTGGCCGCTTCTATGTGGTCATGTGGAAGCAAACAGAGCAGACGTACTGGCAGGCCACGCCCTTCCGAGCAGTGGCCCAGCCAGGGCTGCAGCTCAAGGTATCCCAGCTGCCCAGTTTCCCCAACTCGGTAACTTTACTAAAGCTGTTTCTATCAAACCTCGGGGGCCCCACTGCCTGACTAGGAACCTCCTTACCCAGACATCTGGTCTGGTCATCAGCTGTATAGGATTCCAGAGAGCTTCTCCTGATCCGCTTGACTCTGGAGCTTTCTCACCAGCTCTTACCATCTTTTGTCTCCCTTCATCCTGGCCCTGTGGTTGATACACTGTCTTTGTCAACAACTCCTAGGCAGTGACATCAGTATCTGGCCCAGGTGAGCACCTCCGAAATGCTCTGTGGCATACTGGCCACACCCCTGATCAGGTACGACTGCTGTGGACTGATCCGCGAAATGTGGGTTGGCGTGACAAGACATCCTATAGATGGCAGCTGCTGCACCGGCCCCAAGTTGGCTACATTCGGTAAGGAAAGGGTTTGAGCCCTGGGGAAAGGAGTTGGGGTGGGGAGCAAGACTCAGCCTCCTATGCCCTCTAGCCAGCAGGGACTCAGTAACTGACCTTCCCTCTGTTCAGTTTCATGGTGTTATGGGTTTGGAGACAATTCTTTCCATTTCCCATCTCAACACAGAGGAGGTGGTATTAGGCACACCATTCCTTTGCACCAAGTTCCCCCTCTAAATCCAGGGTGTTGAGCTAGAAGCCTTTCAGTTCTCCAGGCCCGGAGCAGTCCCCTTAAGTGTCCAGAACTTGCTCCAACAGCATCTGACTTTGGAAAAGGACCGTGATTTACAGAAGAGCACATTGAAGCCCATAGTTTACAGGCATTTCAGTTTGGCATTTTCTTCATCACACTGATTTCCCCCTCCTACAAGTGTCCCTAGTTGGTGGGAATGGCTTGAGAGGGGAAGGGAAAAGGGTCTGCTTAGAAGCTGGGCTTGTTGTGGCCAAGAGCCTAGAATCCTGGGAGTTGAGTTGGTTTCTCTTTAAGGTATCTAGAGCCGTGGGGAGCCAGGGCAGAGGATAAAGGGGGGGTGTGGACTAGAGCCTGGGAAGCGGGTGACTTCACCCCCAGCCCTTTGTGCTCATTGTCATAGCAACCCAATCCTTGCTAGGAATGTGCTGGTGCTTTGAGATGCAAAAGGAGTGGACAAAGAGCTAGGGGCCCAAGGCCTGAGAAAAAGCCCCCCTCCCCCCCTTCTCAGCCTTCCCTCCCTTCCCTCAGGAGGAGTGAGCACAAGGGGAGGGGGCGCGCACAAAATCCCAGGACACGATGGCACCGAGCCCCTGGCACCTTAGCACCAATGATACCTCTATCCTGGACAGGGTGAAGCTCTATGAGGGTCCCCAGCTAGTGGCGGATTCTGGGGTGATTATTGACACGTCCATGCGAGGGGGGCGTCTCGGTGTATTCTGCTTCTCCCAAGAAAACATCATTTGGTCCAATCTCCAGTACCGATGCAATGGTGAGGTTCTAGACTGAGGTCAGCTTGACCGGTGCCCTGGGAAACCTCACCCTCTGAAGTAACTTATCTCCCCTCTTCAGACACAGTGCCTGAGGACTTTGAGCCATTCCGGAGGCAACTGCTCCAGGGAAGGGTGTGAGGAGGTGCCACCGGATTCAGAACCATGATTGCAGACTTTTGACCTTGGGCTCTGTTCTGGAGACCCTGAGGTCAACCTACAGCCCCTCAGCCTAACTGATGGTTCTCTGGCACCCATCAGGGAGCTCAGCCCCAGAGGGGTAATGACCCCATTGTGCAGGGGTTGGGGGACTTTCAAGGGGTATTACTCAGGTACTAACCCCAGGAAAGACATCATCAGCACATTGCCATAAAGTTTCAGTTATTTTCTAAGTCAGTGCAATCACTTATTTTAGGCCTTTTCTAGGACAGAAAGAAACCCGAGGGGTTAGAAAGGCTGGTAGCTGCAGGTTAGAGAGCTAGGGAAAGTTTGGCTGAGTTGGGGTTTGGATGGGAAAAATACCAAATGAAGAATGAGGTTGGAAGATGGCTAAAGTCCTCCCAGCCCCACTTACTCACCGTGGCAGAGGCGACACTTCTGTCTAAGCTCCGCAGGGATCGAAAGCCCAGGGTCGGGGCTCCCCTGCTCTGGGTGAGGGGGCGCCGGGGGGGCCGAGGGGGCCGGAGGCCGGGACGAGTGCAATATTGGCGGGGGAAATAACAACACTGCACCGCGTCCCGTCCCTCCCGCCCGCCCGGAGCCCCGGAATCCCGCTCCCTACCACCTGGGCCTTTGGAGCCCTGGGACTGGGGGGTCTTCTGGGGAGTTGGGGTCACCTTAGAGCTACACCAGAGCCTGGGCGCCCGGAAGGGTGAAAGGGAGGGCAGAAGGGAAAGGGTGAGAAGAGAACGGGAAGCCCCGGTGCCCGGGAAAACCACTCTCCGATGCCGATGCAGTGCGCGCGCTTGCTCTTTAAATAGTCAGACTGTGAGGCGCGGAGCTATTGCCATGGTGATTGGTATCCCAGCAACCAAATTGAATGGCTGTTGCCTGGCAATCCTAGGAGTTGGGGTTTGGGGCCCGCCTACCTAAATTCTTGTGGGCGCGCTGACGTAGAGCGTCCTCACTCCGCCTAGGGCCGGCCTCACAAAATCGCTCAGAGGCGCGGTATAAGGCGGGAGTGTGAGTCCCACGCCTCCGTTTATGCACCCTTCGAAAGGTTTCTAAAGTATCAGCTTCCGTTTTGTATTCGTTGGGACTAAGAATTGTTTGCCTACTACAGTTGTAACTGCTCCTGCAGGTTTACACAGCAACCTACACCTGCGGGATCTGGCCTGGTACTCTCCCACAGTCCGCATGCTGTTGTGAACTCAAAGCCCTCCCCGTCCCCAACTATTTCTGCCCTTCAGAATGCCTCTCCGTTCTCCCTAAATGCACACACATGGGTTTGCCCTACACCACGTGCCTGTCTGCTGCAAGTATTGTTCCTCTTCCAAATACAGCGCTCAGCTCCCAAATTCCACCTACTCTCTGCCTCCTAAATACCTGGCTGCCTGCACATAACCCAGTCCCACTCCCCTCCCACAAGCCGATGTCCTCGTCACTAAACTTGATGCCCCCTTCTACATACCTTGGGTCCCCCCTCTCCCGCACACTTAGCTTCACCGCCCCCACCAAGACACCATCCCCAGAAGTCTGAGTAACCCAAGCACTGATCCTTGCTCCTCCACCGCACTGTGCATTCTTTCCTATCTGTTCTAGGCATCGATTCTTTTCGTCAAGGCCCAACCAACTTCCCTAAGATCTTTGTCTCAACCTCTCAACTTGGGGTGTGCTGTCAAACCTCCCTACAGGGTCTCTCAACTCTTCTTCCGCCACTCAGCCCTTGCGGGTCGGCCGCGCGAGGCTCACAGTGGCCACGAGAGGGCAGGCGTTCCCGGCCACAAGGACCGGCCAGCCTGCCACTCAAGGTGGAGAGTTGGATAGGAAGGACTTTAGGCTTCGGTGGAGCCCCAGTTTCGTCCTTTTTAAGTGGAAATTTCCCCCCACCGCCTTTCTCGGGAGCGAGTCAAAGAGGGACCCAGGCTACTGGAAAGCCTGGCAGGGGCGGCGACTGTGGTTTTCAGAGTACAGGGAGCGGTTAGAAGGGTGGAGCTATTCCGGGAAGTGGGGGGGGGGGAGGGAGTCTAAAGCTAGAGACCTGTCCACTATTATCCAGCCCCCTTGTGTCCTCTCAACCTATGGAAAGCTGTTTTCAAGGATCTGCAGAGAGAATAGGAAATGGGATTGGGGGACGTAGGGATGGGGATGGGTTTCCCTGGGCTAGTTGTCCAGGGCCTTTCTATGCTCCCTTTTCTCATCTTCACCGTCACTCTGGGGCTAAAACCAGAGCCAGAGGGTCCCAGGTTTCCTCCACATACACACCTGGGGGCGGGAAAGTCAAGGAGTGGTTGCTAAAAAGGGGGAGGCCAACTGGAGGATAAACAGGTAGCCATAAGTTTGAGTGATTGGAGCCCAAGTACCCTACACAGGAATGGTTGGGGAGGAGGAGGAAAAGATAGGGGAGGGGGCGGAGTTTTGTCACCTGTCACCTGCTCTGGCTGTGCCTAGGGCGGGAGGGGTACTGGTATAAAGCAGCAGGCACCAGAGCTGCTCCACCGCACACGCCACAGCGCCTGCCTTCCCGCCTGTTCACCACCACCATGACCCCAGGCATCCGGGCTCCTTTCTTCCTGACGCTACTTCTAGCGCTTTTAACAGGTGAGAGGCACGAGGTGGGGAGGGGCTGCGTTTTTCAGGTGGGACTCTTTGCCTTTCCTTTGGTTACTGTTAAATGGCACTTCAAGAGTCACAAAGGGCAGACAAGGATGACCCAGTATGTGCCAGAGTGAAAAAAAAAAAAAAAAAAAAAAGAGGGGAAGGACACAGGCTGAGAAGACGGGACTCCTAAGAGAGTAGGCACCATAGTAGGCAATGCTCTCTGATGTTTGTGGGGTGTTGAGACGGTGGACTATGTCAGGGGAGATAATGGTAGTGGAAGAATGGGGCCATGTTCACCAGCCTACAGTATGAATCCTTGACTCAAAAAGTAGTGGAGGAATGAATTAGCCAGGAGCAGAGGCTAGTCTTTTAGGGAGGAAGAGAGTAGCCAGGGAGGTTGTCAGCAAGGAAGAAGGCAAACGGGCTGCCTGATGCTAACCTAATCCCCCTCCTGGGGTTACTTTGGTTTTGGAGTGTATATTTGTTTTTGTTTTTTGTTTGTTTGTTTTTAAACAAGTTCTGGCTCTAGCCAGAGCCAAAAAATCATTCAGATTACCCAAAGCAACCTAGTATTCATCTCTGTTGAGAAGTGTGTGAGCATGAAAATGGTCTCCCCACCTTCAACTCTGGTTCAGGGTTTCTTGCCCTTCCAGATCAAAACAATGTCACCTTATCTCAGACCACCAAAAGTTCCTCAACTTTGAATACCACTCCAGTCCACACTGGCTCCCCAGCCCCAGCCACCAGCTCTACAGTGGACTCGGCCACCACTCCAGTCCACACTGGCTCCCCAGCCCCAGCCACCAGCTCTACAGTGGACTCGGCCACCACTCCAGTCCACAGTGGTGTCTCTGTCCCAGCCACCAGCTCTACAGTGGACTCAGCCACCACTACAGTCCACAGTGGTTCCTCAGCCCCAGCCATCAGCTCTACAGTGGACTCGGCCCCAGGCACCAGCTCTACAGTGGACTCAGCCACCACTACAGTCCACACTAGTTCTTCAGCCCCAGCCACCAGCTCTACAGTGGACTCAGCCACCACTACAGTCCACACTAGTTCTTCAGCCCCAGCCACCAGCTCTACAGTGGACTCGGCCACCACTACAGTCCACACTAGTTCTTCAGCCCCAGCTACCAGCTCTACAGTGGACTCGGCCACCACTCCAGTCCACAGTGGTTCCTCAGCCCCAGCCACCAGCTCTACAGTGGACTCGGCCCCAGCCACCAGCTCTACAGTGGACTCAGCCACCACTACAGTCCACACTAGTTCTTCAGCCCCAGCTACCAGCTCTACAGTGGACTCGGCCACCACTCCAGTCCACACTGGCTCCCCAGCCCCAGCCACCAGCTCTACAGTGGACTCGGCCACCACTCCAGTCCACAGTGGTTCCTCAGCCCCAGCCACCAGCTCTACAGTGGACTCAGCCACCACTACAGTCCACACTAGTTCTTCAGCCCCAGCCACCAGCTCTACAGTGGACTCGGCCACCACTCCAGTCCACAGTGGTTCCTCAGCCCCAGCCATCAGCTCTACAGTAGATTCGGCCCCAGCCACCAGCTTTACAGTGGACTCGGCCACCACTACAGTCCACACTAGTTCTTCAGCCCCAGCCACCAGCTCTACAGTGGACTCGGCCACCACTACAGTCCACAGTGGCTCCTCCATCCAAACCACCAAGGCTATGTCAGGCTCAGCTAACACTCCAATCCATAATAACATCTCTACAATGGCTGCTACAACCCCAGTTGGCAATAGTACTCAATCTTCAATCCCAAGCCAGCACCCTGGTACTCTTACCACTCCTGCAGTCTCCAGCAACACCACTATTGCCCATAGCACTTACTACAGCACAGCATTCCCCCCCACCGTCTCCGTCTCCAGCGCTAGCTCACCCCAGGTGTCTGCTGGGGTCTCCTTCTTCTTGTTGTCTTTTCACATTTGGAACCATCAGTTTAATTCTTCCCTGGAAGATCCCAGCTCCAACTACTACCAAGAACTGAAGAGGAACATTTCTGGATTGGTGGGTATCAGCTGGCCTCTGCTCTTCTGGGGCAGCTCTGGAGGACTGCATGTACTCTTTGCATCAAATCTGAGTCTTCTCCTCTTATCCCAGTTTCTGCAGATTTTTAATCAAGCTTTTCTGGGGATCTCTACTATCAAGTTCAGGTACCGTCTGGTCATGACTCACGGCGGGAGGGACACTTGTGACTTTGTGATGTGGGTGGGGGGGGCAGTAATGCTGAGCAGATACCTGTGGTTGAGCTGCCCATTTCCTGTGACCAGGTCAGGTTCGGTGGTGGTAGACTCGACTGTGATTTTCCGGGAGGGTGCTGTCAGTGCCTCGGAGGTGAAGTCACAGCTTTTACAGCATGAAAAGGAGGCAGAAGACTATAATCTGGCTATTTCAAAAATCAATGGTGAGGCAATATCCCCAATCCTAGCGCCTGTTTTCCCTGAGAGCAGGGAGAAGCCCTCCTCCTCTGGAGGATTTCCCTGAGCGCTGTTTTCCTTTTAGTGAATGAGATGCAGTTTTCTTCCTCGGCCCAGTCTTGGCCTGGGGTACCAGGCTGGGGCATCGCCCTGCTGGTGCTGGTCTGCATTTTGGTTGCTTTGGCCATCATCTATCTCATTGCTTTGGTAAGTCTCAGGCCTTCACCAGTGTGCCCTGGTAAATGGAATCCCATGGGCCAGCATAATCTCCTGTCTCCCCAGGCAGTGTGTCAGTGCCGCCGAAGGAACTATGGGCAGCTGGACATCTTCCCAACCCAGGACACCTACCATCCTATGAGTGAATATCCCACCTACCACACTCATGGACGCTATGTGCCCCCTAGCAGTACCAAACGTAGCCCCTATGAGGAGGTAAATCTTTGTCCCACAGGTTGGGTGGGGCAGGGACCCTGGCTTGGTGAGGGTCTCTGAAGAGTTGCTTGGGAAATCCAAGGAGCTTCAGAGAGGCAAGCAGTGGAGGGGCTCGCAAGGCGGGGGATGGAGGGAGAGTTCCGGAGTGTCTTGGGAGACTACAGAAGAAAGGAAGTGTCTGCACTGAAACCCTTGCTGTCTACTGCTGACTGAGCTCTGAACTGTGTTCATCAGGGTGCCCCAAGGTGCAGTGAGGGGAGCCGAGTCTGAAGGCGTGAGCACTCATGTCCCACTCACCTCCTAGACACAGACAGCTGTGGTGGAGAAGTCTCTAGGTCTCTAGTGAGAGGAATGTGCTGAAAGGGTTCTTGGGAGTTTTAGGAAAGCAAGGGCTCCTCCCTCTGTCCTCACTCGGTTTCTCTACAGGGTCTAGTAAATAATTTGTGACCAGCTGAGACTGAACGGCCAGTGGGTGGGAAAGACACAAGAAAAGAGACAAGAGCTTCCCTTTCTTGCCATTTTCCTCCTCCTAGCGATCTACACACACACACACACACACACACACACACACACAGTCCCCTTTGGGCCTGAGGATCAAAAACTAAAAGGAGAAGGAGACGGGAGGGGCCTACAAGAGGGCTGGGGACTTACAGCCAAGCGGAGGAGTTGTATGTTTACAGTCACCTGGCTGCTCTGAGGTCCAGCAGGTGCACGCTCTGAATTAACTCCTTGAGAGCTCGCCAGGCCCATAGTCAGGGATGCCATGGGACGGGGGTTCTGCCTGATGGATTTTTTCACCCTAATTTTACTTTCCCTCCGCTAGGTTTCTGCAGGTAATGGCGGTAGCGGCCTCTCTTACACCAACCCAGTAGTGGCAACCGCTTCAGCCAATTTGTAGGGACAAGTCACCAGCTCAGGGGGCAGCTGCGCAGTCTGCTTCCTCTGTCTTCACTGCCAGGCCCCTGCCGGCACACTGATCTGGGCTGGTGAGCCAGAGTTCTGATAGGCTGCTCACAGCCCTCCTGAGACTCTTGTCAAGTGTCTCAACCATCATAGCCTGGTGAAGCCCAGCCCTGCCCTGGGGGACACTCTGGGGCAGTGGGGGCTCTCAGAAGGACTGGCCTAGAAAGGCTGGAGACAGGGATGGAAACCCAAACCTGGCTGAATAAAAGGTGGCCTCCTGTTAGCTGTGCCAACTGTGATTCTTCCTCTGAAACTCATGGGTCAGAGGGCCAGAGTGACTCTGTGAGGGGCCTGGTGGGGGTCTCTGGACAAAGACTCCTGAAGGCAAGGAGGTAGGGAGGGGTGGGTACATCTGAAAAAAAAAAAATGGGGCTACGGGGAAAGGTGACACTGGGACACAGAGGTGGCCTGAGAAGGAACCCAGAAATCACCTGCCTCCCATGCCTGGCGGCCCTGAAGGAAGGAGGAAACGAAACCTAGGCTGGCTCCAGTGGGCCTGCCCCTGACCCGGCCTCAGCCTGCGCAGTGACTGTCTCTTCCAGGACCAGCCCATGCCCCTCTCTGTCTGGCACGGTGCCCCTAAGGCAGCTCTATTCTTAGTTGTCCAGGTGTGAAGCAAATCCTTGGGCCGCAGATAACAGTGGAAGAGTCAACACAGCCATGATAAGCCAGGGCTGGGACAGATCCGGGTGCTGCTGGCACCAGGCCCTGGCTCTCTGCCATCCTACCCACCACCGCCTCTGGGTGGGCTCTGTGGCACCCTGGGAATGAGGAAGTGGTTCTAGTTCCCTGACCCCTATGGGCCCGGACACCATACCATGCCCTCAGCCACATCCCCGCAGGGTCCACTGCTGGGGTTCAGATATCCAAGCTGGACATGATGCTAGCAGTCGGTGCTGTGCCCCGCCCTGGCAGTGAGTGTCAGCTGGGACTCGGATCCTAGGTATAGCAGGAAGCTGTGCACACCCAACTTAGGGACCTCCATCTCCTAGATGCCATCACCACGTCAATCAGACCGGAAGTTATCAGAAATGGTCATACTCTGGGAAAACGGAAATGTGCCTGGTGTCACAGTTTATTGTTTATAAACCATGAAAATCACAGCTGTTGCTCAGTACAGGCCTAGCAATGCCCACTGCAAGGAGGCAGTAGCAGGCACCAAAGGCCTAGCTTGGCCCAACCCAGTGGGGACACCTCAGCTGAGCTGAGTTCCCAAGGGAGACTTGGCACGTTGGCGTGGGTGCAGGACAGGTAAAGCATGCAAGAGGGAGAAGAGGGACAGAAGGGACATGCGGTTGGGGGTATGGGAACCCAAATAAAACAGTAGGTTCTCCTCCCTCTCACTGGGGAGGCTCAAAGCCTGGCTGCCAAGGCTGTAAATTCAGCATCATTGGAGCAGGGAGCTTGGCAAGGCAAAGGGCAGAGCTGTCAATCACACCACTGTTCTAGGTGCCCTCCCTCCCAGTAAGCCTTGGGGGGCACAGGACAGGGATGGGATAGGGGCTTTCTATGCCTTGGTTAAGACACCAAGGGCAGGGTTTGGGGCAGAGACTTGGTGGGCCTGGGGGCCTAGGCCAATAGGTAACACAGAGAATGGAGGACATCCAGAGGTAAGCTGGGGAGAGAGCCCCTCAGTCAAGGGATGCCCTGGCAAGGTACAGGGCAGGACCACGTAGTTAGGAAAGGTCTGGGGGAAAAGCTGCTGGGTAAACAACCCGCTGCCTGGAGGCTGGGGAGTAGAGCTTAGGTCTGGAAAGGGGGGCTGAAAGGCTCAGTCCAGCTTGGCAAAGCCCCCGATGGTGACTTTCCTCTCAGGCTTGGTGCCCACAGGCTCCTGCAGCTGAACAGCGCCACCACCAATGAAGCAGAAGGCAGGGCACACAGGCCCTGAGCAGTCCAGGGGGCACTCGAGGAGCCCACGGAAGGACACAGCATCCAGGAAGGAGACTCGCCCCCGCTCGTAGTCCAAGCAGATGCCCAGGCGGGGCGGCAGGGGCACTGTGCAGCTGGCTGCCGGGCCATCCCTCCCTGTCAGCCCCGCGTTAGAACTTGCTCCAGAGCCCAGCAGGATCTTGCCCATGCCAATGGTGAGGAAAGCAAAGGGCGGCAACGCCTCCACTGTGGCATCTTCAGCGCCGCTGTCGTGCCCGCTGTCTGGGTCGTATCTGTGGGAATGGGAATTGGGAAGGAGGATGTTGGGAGGCAGAGGAAGGGAAAGCAGGAGAGACCGGGGAGCTGAAATGTTGGGAGGATGGAATGTTGGGGAACAAGAGGTTGCAGGTATTAAGGTGAACACACGTTAAGGAGGCAAGGGGCAGAGTGTACGGCTTGAGGTTCCAGTCTGCATGAGAAAGGAGTAAGGGAAGGGAAGTGCGTGAGAGAGGAAGGTGTGCTAGGGAAGGAGAGCTGGGCTGCGCTACAGCACACTGAGGAAGTATGGGGCTTGTCAGGGTAGAAGGTGCTGCGAAAAATAACGCTAGGGAGGGAAATCAGGTTAGTGAAACCGTGTCGACAGCTGGGGGTGTTGGAAGGGTGACGGCACAGTGATTAGGATACAGTGGGGAGGGGCAGGAGCAGAGCAAGGGTGTAGGGAAGGTGGCCTTGGGAGAGATGAAGATGGACTAGTGTCAGGGTTCTGGAGGGAAACTGAAATGGGGACAGTAGCATTCTAACGGGAGTTTGGGCTGGAGAGAAGGCATTTGAAGGAATGGGATGTTGAAGGGTGAACTCCCGAAAGAGGGTTCTGGAGGGAACCGTGGGAAGAGGTATTAATGAGGCACCGGAGGCAAGGAGGGCTGTGGAGACATGTTTAAGGGAAGACTATGAGATGTTGAGAAAGAAGTAGGTGAAGGAGGTCTTGGAGAAACAACTTTTCATAGAAATAAACTGCTAGGGGGAAAAGACATGGGAGCTTAGACAGGTGGTGTACTGGTCCTGAGTGACAGATGGAAGGAAGAGGTAATGGCTCTGCGGCTATCAACCTTTTCCCCAACTGTACACCCTGAAAACCAGTCCTCAAAAGATCCATCTCTTCCATCTGGAAGCCCCCAGTCTGGCTTCCGTGCTACTTGGTCTTACTGTTGCCCACCCCACCCCAGCAAGTCTGTGTTCCCTGTACCACCCTTCCCCAGGGCTTCATCCCCACCCCTTGCAGAAGGGCCTGACCTGGGGCTGATCACATCCGGGGCACCCTGGAAGCTTTCCTGAAGTTTGCTCTCCAGCCCGACGCCCACCTTGACCAAGTAGGAGGCAGGGTCTACTGCACAGGCCCAGTAACTGCGGCCCTGGGTCACAGCCACGTCACCCAGGACCACGTCCACACTCAGGTGGCAGCCTGTGAGCAGCCGCTCGGCAGCCAGCAGCAAGGGAAGCCCTGGAATGCTCCGCACCGCTCGCTGGTCCTTGCTGATAGCTAGCCGCTCTCGGCTCGCACCCCAGCGGCCATCAAGGAAGAAATGCAGGACTAGAAGGAGGAGGAGGTTAAGACAGAAGGAGAGGTTTCAGGGACACACTGGCACTGGGGATCATGGGGTGTCAGCACAAACACTGGGAATTTGGGGCACAGGAGATAAGTTGTTAAGAGGTTCAGTCACTAGGAACTGGGAGGGGCCCAAGGGAATAGGGTGTGGGGAACCGAAAGGGGGACCTAGGGAAGAGAGGGGCTTAGGCCTGGGACCCCAGGAAGAGCTGCAGGGATGACAAGTGGGCACAGAAAACAGTGTGTCATCTCTAGCTGACTCAGGGTTTCGGCAACCCATTTTCCATGGTTGGCCCTGTGGGCCATCTCCACTGCCATCCTGTTCCATCTGCTCACATTCCTGACACCACTGACCTGGACCTTCCCTCCCATGCTCTGGTGCTCATACCTGACCCCTATACCCAACTTTGTCTCTTTTGCCCTTTACCCTAGTGGTGAGCACACTTGGCAAGCCCCACCCCCCTTTTTTTTAAACATTGACTGAGCCCTCACTATGAGTCAGAAGCTAAGTCTTTATATGCACCATCTTACAATGTGTTAATTACCAAATCCTCCACTAAGTATTATTATCACCTCCATAGAAGAAGATCCTAAAAGCTCAGAGAAGGAAAAAGTTGTGGCTAAGGACACACAGTTGTCAAGGGGCAAAAATGGGTTTTGAACCCGGGCAGTTTAGCTCCAGAGGAAACAAGTGTAACCCACACCTTGAATTGTATGAATTACATAAATCAAATTGTATTCCTGTACCCTCTGCATGAGCATCTAAGTTCACCACATGACACCACCTGTCTGTCTACTCACCAGGTGCTGGAGGTGTGTGCAGGTGCACGTCCTCACTATATTCTCCATAGCCAGCCTTGTTGCAGCCACGAACACGCAGCACATACACAGAGCCTGTGTCGGGGTTCTCAAGAAGGGCACTGGTGCCCCTCACCTCCTCCCGTCGTTGCCAGCGTGCAGGGCCAGGCTGGGCAGGGACATCTGTGCGCCGGAACTCAACAGTGTAATGCCAGGCAGGTGGTGAGTGGGGGGGCAGCCGCCAGCACAGGAAGATTTGGTCATAGGCAAAGGTGCGCTGGGTGTCAATGACAGGAGCCTCAGGCACTGTTGGAAGAGACAACAGGGTCAGTCAGGGTCTGGCCTGGCATGGACAGTGGGGCAGGCAGGAAAGAGGAAGCAGCGGGAGCCGGGGGGTGAGTGTAGGTGAGGGATCTGGGGGAAGGAACCTGGGTGGGCAGGACAGGGCCCAAAGGAGAAAGGAGTGAGCAAGTGCTGGGCAGGAGGCAGGGGCCTGAACTCTAGTCCTAGCTTGCCACCACCCTACTTTGGCCTGAAGTAAGCCACTTTCCCTCTCAGTTTCCTCAAATGACAGCATCAGACCAACTGAGTTCTGAGGACCCTCACGGCTTAGTCTTTGAGCTAAGGGGAGCCCCAGAACGAGGCAGGCAAAGGCCACTGGAACCCAGGCAAGAGAGCCCTGAGCAGGAAGGGAGGCAGAAGGGTTGGAAGGGAGGTACCAGCGTCAGCAAGACAGAAGATGGGAAGGAAGCGGAGGGGAGCAAGCTTGCTAGCAGGGGAGTGCATGTAGGTCAAGAGGAGGAGCATGAAAGTCCAGAAGGCAAGGGCCAAGATAAGGAAAGGTCAAAAGGACCAGGATTACGCAATAGCCTAAAGAAGGTGGAAGAGACCGGGCACTTGTCAAGTGGGAGGACCAAGAATTCAGAGTACATTAGGAGAGACGGAAG